TTACTGACCTTTTTTTTTATTTGTGCTACTTGGTACCAACATCAATAGCTGGATACGTCATCCCTCATTGCCAACTCAGTAAAAATTAACAAGGGTAAAAGAATCAAACGTATGTATATAACAAATATTATTCACTGCCACTGAGGAGACCCCAGAAATGAATCAAATATTTGTTTTTTAATTTATTAAGAAGTTGGTGTGTCCTTTGAAATAGCAGAAGATGTAAACAATAGTGAAAATGTGGATCCTGAATCAAGCAAGAATGAAATCCTGAATGAGAAGCCAAGTACTATAAAAGAAAAACAAAAAAAAAACAACAAGACCTCCCATGAAAAGTACTACTCCAACCAGAAGAATGAGAATGGGCCCAAACAGAGCAGCATTTGATCTGGTAAGTGTTACTGAGAACAGCAATCAAATCCATGAAAGTTACTATGACAGAAAGTTAGAGCAAAAGCAAAAATTGCATGAAGAAAATATGGCATTAAAAAGAGAAGAGCTACAGTTGCGAAAAATAGAAGTGCAGCTAAAAGAAGAGGAATTAACGATAAGAAAAGAAGAAGTAGAGTTAGAAAAAGAAAAGCTTAGATTGGGAGGGTTGAGGGGCCATGAAAAAAAAATTCAGAGAATCTAGAATGTTAGTTATTACAGATTCTTAAGATGACTATAACCATAAAGAATGCTTGGAAAAATTGTATTCAACACATGATTATGTCTTGTCTTGTAAAAATGACCAACTGACACTATGATAATGTTTGATAGAGTCTATGTCATACATCTATTCGAGTTTTTTGCTGTTAATAGACATATTTTTTGGTTCATTGTTGATAACCACAATATGTTACAGTGTTTATTTTGTGATTCTTGATTAGGTAATATATTTTCAATAGTTCCTACTGTCTGTGCCTGTTAACTTTAGTTTTTGTATTTTTTTCTTTTCAGAATAAAAAAAATACTGTTTAAGCACTTGATATTATGTTTTTCTTTGCCAAGTTTAAGTTTCTGAGGTTTTAATTTGTAAACAACTCATTAAAAATCAACTTCAAGGTAACAATTCTTTTATTTCAAGTAGAAACACAAACTTATAGGGTTAAAAAAATAAAACATAACTATCCAAGCATTATTTATCTGCATCTATTGAATAAAAAGACTTTTTCCTTTTTGATACAGCGTACAGTGTATTGAAGAATTTATTATTTTTAGCAAGGGTCTGAAATCATTTTTTAATCAAAAACGGCTGGTGTAGCTAGGCTAGAGAACTACCCTGTAAAAGACTTACACATGATACTGACAATTTAAACTTTGTAAGATAAATACTCCTGCACAGTATAACAGCAACTTGGTATAGAAATGTTTGTGATATTTTGCAGAGCTATGATATTTTGGGGAAGGATCATTAAGTTTCAATTTGAAAAGAACTTCAAATATTCAGATGTCTTGTAAACTAAGCAGTGCCTAGACAAGTCAACTGATAATTCATAAAAATGGTGGAACAGCAGAATGTATGAAATTTTTTTCTCATCTATAAGGGTGCTCTATGGTATAGCTTTGCAAAAAATCAGGGCACTACAGGGTAATTCTGCGGATACAAGGCTGCTGAAAACAGAAAAAAAAATCGCATAACCCAAACGAAGAACTGTACCACCAACAACCTCATAACGATTGCAGAGACCTTATAGAAGTATATCTTGACGGCATATCTTTGCGAAAGATCCGGGATTACCGGGTGATTCTGCGCATTCAAGTGTTGGTCCTTGAAAACAGAAAAAATGCGCAGAACCCAAACGAAGAGTTGTGCCATCAAAATCTCATATTATATGTTTCTAGAGACCACGTAGGAACTCAAGTTTACACCATAATTTTACGCAAAATCGGAAGGCTACAGGGTGATTTTGTTCATCAAACAGGGGTTGACTTCTCAAAACAGAAAAACCCAAACCAAGAATTATGTCACCAACAAACTCGTATATATTGTAGAGACCTATGGCATAGTTTTGCAAAAAATCAGGAGACTACAGGGTGATTTTGTTCATTTACGTCTCAAGTGCTCAAAAAAGAAAAACATTTGCACAACCCAAATGAAGAATTATGCAACCAAGAAACTCATATATGTTGTAGAGACACCATGGTAGTACTTACATCTCTACAGTATTTGAAGGGTGTACTTCTTAAACCATAATGGCTGTTGTGAATGTCCACATGATTTCACTGTCACATATACAGGGTGTTCCATAATTATTGCGACAAAATGATAGGGGTTGTAGAGGGCATAAAAATATGCAATTTTGCCTTATAAACCCCTGTTCGTAAATATGCCGTTTGAGCACTACCGCTAATTTTACCTTAAGAGCTCATAGGAGAAACAAAAAATTCACCAGCTGCAAAATGTTCGTCTAGCACATTTCATGGTCTCGCCGGTTTGTAAAAAAGCCTGCTGTGTTTACATTTTTGTTATCGTAAATTCTCCACACCGATTCATTTAATTTATCTGTAAATAACAGTACCTTAGTGTTAAAATGCAGCGTTCTTCGTATGCGGAACTTGCGGATATGCATTTAATTTACGAAGAAGCTGGTGGTAACGGAAGACGACCCTCGCGAATCTACGCCTAACGGTTTCCAGAACGTCCTCATCCGCATCACGCCATTTTTGCAAGGATTTATGGAGTTGAGGCAACCAAACTTTGGTCGCTACGTTTTGTTCACTGACGAGTCCTGTTTTACAAAGGACGGTTATTTTAATAGCCGTAACAGTCACATTTGGGATGAAGAAAACCCTCATGCCATAGCCATCCATAGAGACCAACATCAGTTTTCAATTAACATCTGGTGAGGCATTGTGGACGAGCATATCATCGGGCCATATTTGCTTCCACCACGTTTGGATGGGCATGCTTATGGTCGATTCTTACAGCATGTGCTACCGGAACTATTAGAAAATCTGCCACTGAACATAAGAGCCCACATGTGGTTTCAACACGATGGCGCTCCAGCCCACTTTTCTTTACAAGTGCGGCAGTATTTGGACGACAAATTTCCAAATAGGTGGATAGGCCGAGGTGGCCCTGTGCCTTGGCCTGCGCGGTCACCCGACCTGACCCCACTGGATTATTTTCTCTGGGGCCATCTGAAAGCTTTAGTGTACGAAACTCCTGTTCCCAACCAACAAGAGCTACTGGGAAGAGTGATGGCCGCGTCCGCACATGTTGAGGACATACCGGGGGTATGCCACAGAGTTCGACGATCATTGAACAATCGTGCACAGCTGTGTATTGAGCAAGGTGGAGGACACTTTGAGCAATTACTGTAGGTAACCTGTTTCAAGAAACTGATCTTTTTTTTTTGTTGCAGCCCAAACGGCATATTTCCGAACAGGGGTTTATAAGGCAAAATTGTTTATTTTGATGCCCTCTACAACCCCTATTATTTTGTCGCAATAATTATGGAACACCCTGTATAGAATGCTTTAAAACATTCAATAATCAAAATTAAGATAATTTGTTTCATGCTGATCAGAAATATACAGGATGTTTCAAATTCGACCCTCACCATTGCGATCTCGGAAACTATAAGAAATAGGTAGCCGCTTAAATGGACCGCGGTGATTCCAGCAACAACTGCCACCCAGCAAAAAACGGTAGTTTCTCTTCTCACCAACGGCCGCGTCGCGCTGGACAACCATCGCACGTCATACCAGCAGCGAAGCCTGCGCAGCGTAAGCAGGCGGTGCGGTACCGTCTTCCCATGTAAAACGGTGTTATAGTACATATAATTATACGTATACATTGTGTGTTGTCAGTGTTATCACATTAAACGAAACGCACATGGAAACTTGAAAATTAAAATTCTTAATTTTTCTTCAAATCATTCACGAAAATCAATGCTACAATGTATTCTTCATATTCGGGATCGATTACATTGCGTGGCCGGGTCATCTTAAGCTTACCAGGGGGAGCGAAAGTTACCTATACGAAACACACATGGAAATTTGAAAATTTGAATTCTCAACTTTTCTTCAAATCAACACCACTTTTTTTCACGGAAATCAATGCTACAATGCATCCTTCATATCCGGAATCAATTACGTTTCGTGGCCAGGGCATATTAAGCCTACCAGGGGAAGCGAAAGTTACCTATACGAAATGCACATGGAAATTTGAAAATTAAAATTCTCAATTTTTCTTCAAATCAAAACCAATTTTTTTTTCACGGAAAACAATGCTACAGTGCACCCTCCAAATCTGTAATCGATTACATTCCGTGGCCGGGGCATATTAAACCTACCGGGGCGGGGCGAGAGTTACCTATACGAAACAGATATGGAAATTTGAAACAAAATTCTCAATCTTTCTTCATATCAACACCACTTTTTTTCACGAAAATCAATGGTACAATGCATCCTTCATATCCGGGGTCGATTAAATTTCGTGGCCGGGGAATATTAAGCTTACCACGGGAAGCGAAAGTTACCTATATGAAAAGCACATGGAAATTTGAAAATTAAAATTCTTAATTTTTCTTCAAATCAACACCACTTTATTTTCTCTTAAATCAATGCTACAATGCTTCCTCCATATCCGGGATCGATAACAATTCGTGGCCGGGTCATATCAACCCTCACGTGGCGTTGTGGGGTCTGGTGCACCCCCAGTACTCTTTGACTCCATGTAAAACTTGCAGAATCAGCATTAAAGCCTGGGCGCGCCATCTACCTTTAAGTTAGTGCACTCATAATCCACTCCGGTGCGCACGTCAACTTTGATTTAGTATTGCTCTGGACAGCGAGCGGTAAAGTTCATTTGGGGTTTGTGTGGCACCACGACGGTAATAGTATATTATTTTTAAAATGGCGTGTTCCTCCAAATGCGTGCGTTTTGGGGACTCTTAGTTTGAGGAAACTTTACGCCAGTGGTATGATGAACTTGAAAGTGAGTGTAGTGATTATGAGGACTACAGGACAAAGATTTTTCCCCAGAGGGTGACCATAACTCTGATTCTGAGATGGAAGATCAGGGGGGCAGTGCTGAAAAACAGGAAAGTCATTCTAATGGTGAAGAAGAAGAGGAGAACGGAACGTTTTATTTTGGTAAAAATCGGTACAAGTGGTCTACTGTTCCGACCAATCCATATTTGAATATCAGAACAAAAAACACAATCTAGTGAAAGTTCTTCCGGGGCTGAAAGGACCTGCAAAATGTGGTGAGGTCGCTGATCTGTTAAAAACATGCAGGTATATTTTCACTGAAGACATGGAAAATGAAATAATTCTACGGACAAATGAAAAGATATTGGTATTCCAAGATAAATTTAGTAATCCTTATTGAACGAAACTGAGAGAACTAATAAAGGAAGAATTTAGAGTGTTTCTCGCTATATTGTATTACGCTGCAGTTTTCAAGTCAAATGATGAAGGCTTTCAAGAAATGTTTGCAACAGATGGAACGGGACGAGACATATTCAGATCCATTCTCTCTTTGAAAAGAGTATATGTGTTGCTCGCATGTCTAAGGTTTGTTAACTGAACAGTGTAAAGGAATATTTTTAGGCTTATCCTATTTCTTTTGTTTTAGGTTTGACAATGCAGATGATCGAGAAGCAAATAAAACTTATGATCGAACTGCAGCAGTCTCTTGGAAGTAGGGTGAAAGTGCCAGTTCAACTTCCTCCCGGGGGGTGAAGGGGTGGTTTGTGTGGTGGGGTAAAGGGCGGGGAGTGTTTAAATTCCGAGTCCTCCCAATGACTATCATCAGCATCGAAAACGTGTTGTTTAATCAAAATGAGTCGACGGATAGTGTCCCCCCTCCCTCCCCCCACTACTATAACTCATCGACCGGGCGAACGAGCAGCATCGCTCTTTTCCCACTTCAATCTCGTCATCCATACACCTTAATCCGATGATATGACCATTCTTTGCCCTCTCAACCGTCTTGTGCGGTGTGGTAAAGGGCGGGGGGTGTTTAAATTACGACTCCTCTCAATGACCATCCTCATACCATCAAAAACGTATCGTTTAAGAAATGTGGAGTCGACGGGCGATGAAATCCATTGTTCCCCTCTCAATCACCGTGTGTGGTACGATATTTTTTGTAGACTACCTGAACTCTTGTATGCACCTGTGCAGTAACGTAATCTAACTCTCCTCAGGTAAATAGCTCGACGGAACTCATGGTGGTGCGGTGTGGTAAGGGGCGGGGGTCCTCTCAATGACCATCCTCACAGCATCGAAAACGTGTTGTTCGACAAATTTGTATCGTATAAATAGCTCGAGGAAGGCATTGTTACCCTCTCAAAGACCCTGCTAATTGTAAAACCACACAGCAGTTCAGTCCCCTTATCAAGAACTGTAAAACATTTTCGCGCTTCTGTCCTCAGATCATAAACGCATTTATAATAGAAAAGGAGTCGTCGATGGAAGGTATTGTTAAGGCATTGTTGTCCTCACAATGTCCATGCCGATAGTAAAGTCTCTCAGCTGTTCGGTGCAGAATAATTGAAATGTTGACTATATATTTTTTTTGTGGGCCACCCAAAATTTATCTGGGGGTTGGGTTGTTCAAATGCCTTAGGGTATGCAGCGGTGCTGTAAGGTAATCTAAATCTGCTAGCTATTATATAAACGGTGAAACAACAACAGCTTTGATCATTCAAATTCAGTCATTTAACATCGATAAGTGACTAAATAATATTCTTGAAGTACCTAAGAGATATAATTTGGTGAGCATCCGTTTATATTATTTATCCAACACTATTTGTTTTTTTACTAATGTCTATCACTACCTCAGCCTTGCATGAAATAAACAATAAAATAAATTGCGAATCTGACAACAATATACCATCTAGAATATTATCATCATTAACTGTAAACAAATCTTATCCTATTATACCAAGTTTACATTCAGCTCAATTGGGCAGGGAACTGAGCAGGGAAGTGGTCAGCGTGAGAATGTAAACACGATCCTTGCGCTGCCACTGCTCATGCTGCTGCCATTGCCCGGCGCTCCCTCAATTGTCTTTTTTTCGTGCGGAAGTCAAAGGACTGACAGCGCGAGCGCGAGTGAGTATTTACATTCAACCAGTAATACATTCCACCGTCTCGCTCACTTGCTGTAGGTTGTGCGTGTGTTTTCTAGCCTGTTGTTATTTTTTTATTTAACTTGGTGTTTTGCGATATTCTGTGGGTATTTATAATGCCACCGTCTCCGCCACCCCCGGAGTGGAGCAATGAGAAAATAATTAAGTTCTTGGAACTGTGCGCAACTGAGCGAGTGATATGGGATCCATCTGATAAAAGTCATAAGTTAAAACATAAAGTACACGATGCTTGGAATCGCATCAGCAATAGCTTGGATGGTCCAATAGAGGACTTAAAATCGAAGAAGAAATCCCTTATGGCCACGTTTCGACCTCTATTAAAGAAAAAAGAAGCTTCCATTGGTTCTGGAGCAGGTGCTGACGATGTGTTCCAGCCAATATGGTTTGCTTTCGAAATTATGGAGAGCTTTTTGGGATCGCTTTATGACGTTGCGGAGACTATAAACACGGAAGACACGGTAAGTTCATTCATATATTAACACCTGTTATTGTTGTAACAATAATTTATTAGGTAGTTATTAAATATCATCTACTCTACTGTATTTATATTATGGAAATAATGACCAAATTCAGTTCGAATTTCGCAAATATTTCTTGGCGAGCGTCTTGGCACATCTGCTATTGGCCTAATAGCTCTCTGGGTTGGTTTGTATTTGTCTCCAAGAGCCATCCACCTGTACACCGTCAATTATGGAATCAAAAGTTCCAGGGGGGGTGTATAAGTTTCGAGAAAACTTGCTGTTTCTTAAGAAATTATGTAATAAAAGACAGGTCATAGTTACTAGTGGTACATTTTCTATGTCAATTTCGATTGGTTTTTTAAAAATTCGAAAAACAGTAGTTAAAACACCGAAAATATTTTCAACAATGACACGAGAACTTGAAAGTTTGTAATTGAAAGTACGTTCCATTGTGCCACTATTATGATTACCTGGAAAAGGTTTCATTAAATGTTTATGTAATACAAAAGCTCCATCACCAAGAAATACATAGGGCACATCTGTTTGTCTTCCGGGTAATGGGGCATCTGGTGGCAAATTAATAGTATTTGTGTCAATTTTTTGCCAAAGTAAAGAGTTTCGAAAAACCCCCCATCACTAATGCGCCCCTGGCCGCCGATGTCCGCAAAAGTAAAACGGTATTGACTATCCACTAAAGCCATTAGTACGATGCTATGCGTACCCTTAAAGTTATAAAATTTTGAGCTACTGTGTGCTGGGCGATTAATTACGATGTGCTTCCCATCTATAGCTCCAACGCATCGTGGAAACTTATGTCTAAATCCCTCTTCTATATGTAACCATTCCTCTGGTGTTTGTGGTAACTGCAAGAAAGACAACATTAAATATACATTAAAAATAAAGAAAAACTATACAACATATATATACATGTATATATGATAAATATACAAATAATACTTTTTTTTCAGACTTTACATAGTGAAGATATGCCAGCCCCACCTCAAGCGCCAATTCAGCCTCAACAAGCTGTGGAAATACCACTTTCATCGCCATCACAGTCAATCTCATCGCGACCACACACCAAAGCAATCAAAATCAATAAAAAAGCAAGCCTCAATACAGATGAAGCACAAAATAAAATATCTGAAAGTTTGGACACTCTGAACCATGTATTAAGAGAAAAAAGAAATTATGTGAATGATGAAGATGAGTGCGATATATATGCGAAACTTTTAGCAAAAAGGTTACGAAAATATCCGGAGTCAATGCGACAAATAGTCATGTACCGAATAGATGGCTTGCTTTTAGAAATTCCTTGTCCCGTTGAACGACCATCAAGTGCCTACTCATCTCGATCGTCGCAATCACAACTTTCCGATTGCCAAATGTTAACACAGTCTCCAATGCATTCTCCACAACTTTATGCCATACAACCCTCACGATCTGTGAATTCTCCAGTACCGATCAGTACCCGGAAACAAATGATACACCTCAAAACCAACAAATTGATAATATCATTGCAAAAGCATACTGGAACGCTTCCCAAATGTAGGAAATTGTATTAAGTTATGTGTCTCATGAATACTGTTCTTTTATTAGACATTAAATACATTATTTTGTGATTAGATTCCTACTTTTATTACTTACCTTAATTTGATTCTTCAGAACAGAGTTGATAGCTTTGCATACTTCAGGAACCATTGTCGAAATAGCTGCTGTGGAAACCTTGAATAAGTAGTGGAGACTTCGATAACTATCCCTCGTTGCTAAATATCGTAAAGTTATTGCCAAACGTATTTTTGGTGGTATGGGTATTCGTAGTCTAGTTTGGGTTTTTTTTATAAAAGGTTCAATATTATTTAGCAAAAATTCGAAGTCTCTACGTGCCATTCTGCAAAAGTTAGAAAAATCGGCGGAATTCTCGCAAGTCAACTCCTTGAAAAAATTATCCATACTGCGTCTGTAAAAAAATATCATTATTCACACGTTTGTTTGTTGTTGTGTTCAATCTGTAACGGCTAAACGGATTTTTTATATTTTTCTCGAACAACATAAATACCAAAGTGTAGGGGAATTTGTAGTACTTACGACGTTCTATTTCGGTGAATTGCTAACATCCACCATCTCCTTCTTCGACGGCATCTTTTTCTTATTCGGTTTCTTTTCAAAACACTTAAATAGTTATTTATACTGAGCAAACATAACGCTGTCGCCGCCTCAACTTCTACGTCCGCCATCGCTGTGAGTTGAAAAGTGCAGGCTGAATGTGAACACACACTCACGTCGATGCTTCCGCAGAAGTTTGAAATGCAGGGCAACGGGCAGCGCGAGTAGCAGCGGCAGTGGCTGAATGTAAACCTGGTTTTAAGAATATTTCAAGTATTTAATCAAAGTTTGGGCAATGCCTAGTAGCAACCCTTCTTGATTCTGATTCTGACCAGTTTAGGGTTTGGCTACCTAAAAGAGTGTTGGAAAACATGCCCGAAATTATGACTAAAGATATAAATGAGTCCCTTAACAAATATTCTTTAGCGTATATTGGCCAAAGCTCACCAAAGACACCAGGTAGTCGTTCAAAATGTCTCATGAGATTAGTGTGCCAGTTAACGGATTTCATGCATGACGCTGAACATTCAACAAACTACGATATGAATATTTGTAGCGATGATAACGAGGTCGAAAGGATCAGGAGACTAATTCGGAAGTACGAGGAAGGGCAGAAGTTGTGCACTCAGTATCTACAAGAAGATTGTACTATTGAGCAGTCTTGTAGTGATATGATTAACTATAACCTTAGATCATTTCTGTGTGAGATTGCAAGGTATTTACCTTCGGAAATTCTCCTCAAATATAACCTCGTGTATGAGGATTGAACACTATCTATTTAGTCTGCTATAGGATTATACAATGCATTCTTATTAAATAAATACCTGACATATTGAGTGGTTGTTATTTCACTGAAGAACATCAACGCATGTTAAATACATGAAAACATTATATGGTAATGCCTTAAAATTTTTCCATCAACTGAGTGAAGGCAATCAAAGAAATGTTAATTTTCGTCGACTCTTTGAGAAAACAAGATGTTTTTCAATTAGAATGGTCTTATCATCGGATTAAGGTGGAAGGGTGACGAGATTGAAGTGGGAAAAGAGTGCTGCTGCTCGTTCGCCCGGTCGATGTTATGAGGATGGTCATTGGGAGGACTCAGAAATTAAACACCCCCCGCCCCTTACCCCACCACACAAACCACCGCTTTGATAGAAAGTCACTCCTCTGTGATATAATATATATGTTACAGGCAAAGCCCGAAGCGCGGGCAATCCTAGGAATGACTAGTCATTTCGCGAAGTGGCCAGAATATTCGGTCAAAGTCCGAAATACTCTTGAGTTCCGGACATTAACTGCGGCTCTTTTAGTCAATCCTAGGAGTGACTGACCCACCTCGTCAAAGTCCGAAACGAAGAAACGCTCTCCGGACTTTGACTAGGCAATCCTAGATGGGGCGAAGATCGGACTCTGACTGTTGCGCATTCAGTTGAGCACAAGCACTGCTATAGATGACATGTTCCTAACCTTATTTCTGTGTTGCATTTAAAATGAGTGAGACAACTGTCGGGACCGTTGAGGAAGACAACTTCGATGAAGTGAAGGTGAAATTTATGGAAAGAGTGCGTAGTGTACAGAGATCGTCGGGTTCGTTCCATATCGAAACGCAAGAGAAATATGACGAGTTGATTGCTGAAGTGGAAACTGCTAAGGCCGCTAAGACGAAAACGTCACTGCAATACCGACGATTAAGAAGGTATGATATTTGGCACGTTGGAAATGTGAAGAAATTGATCACACCCGTGTTAGACGACCCAAACGTTAAATTCTACATCACAGACAAGGAACTGTTCGACGTAATACACACAGCTCACCGTGAATGTGGTCATGGCGGTAGGGATCAAACGATAAAGGTGCTGAAAAATAAATACGCAAATGTTACGAAAGAGTGTATCTCGATCTATTTAGACCTATGTAAAACGTGTCAAAAGAAGAAAAAACATCCCAAACGGGGTTTGGTTGTAAAACCATTGCTTTTTAAGGAAATACAAGCGCGGGCACAAGTTGATCTGATCGACATGCAAACGTGCCGTGACGGTGACTTCAAATTTATAATGAACTATCAGGATCACTTAAGTAAATTCGTAATTTTGCGTCCCTTAAAAACCAAGACCGCAGAAGAAGTTGCCTACAATCTGTTAGACATTTTTTGTGCCTTCGGCGCCCCGTCTGTGCTTCAGTCAGATAATGGCCGAGAATTCGCCAACCGAATAATTGAAGAATTAAAAACCTTATGGCCTCAACTGACTATTGTACATGGAAAACCCCGCCATTCGGAGAGTCAAGGTAGCGTCGAAAGGGCTAACCAAGAAGTCCAGAAAATTTTGTTTGCATGGATGGAAGACAACAAGACCAACAGATGGAGTGAAGGCCTGAAATTCTGCCAACTTCAGAAAAATAACGCTTTTCACACAGGAATCAAACAAACTCCATTTGAAGTCATGTTTGGTATGTAAAATAAGGGCTATGGGAATGAGAAAAGAAATCATATTTTTAACTTGTTGCAGGGAGAAAAGCTCATGTTGGGATTCAGACCCTCCCGGATACAATAAAGAAGCTTCTTCGAACTGAGGAAGATCTTGAAAATGCCCTGATCCCATCTGACGGCGACGGGCCTATTTTAGAAACGACGCTTCAAGGAAATGAAGGCGTTCTAATGGAACAAGATTCTGAACCTACCGGTAGGTATTAGTACACTGAAATTAGCATAAATAGGGGAAATTGGAAATTGGAGTAAGAATTGATGCAGTAACAGTGACATCTTCTGCACATAATTATTGAATTGCGTAAAGTTACCTTCCATTTCCCCTGACAACCTATTTCTCGTCTAATTTTAATAAAGACTTTCACACAGGTACGAATGTATGCTGCGTTTGTCAAGAGGAAAGTTCTGGTGCACATACCTGTTGCATCTGTGGACAAATTATCCACGCGATTTGCGCAGACAATACTTTAGAAACTGAAGAGGGTTTTGGAAGTAAAGTAACGTGTCCGAGGTGTGCGCAAAAAGAATGTATGTCTGCAAATAAAGAAAAGGCAATTGATGGTCTTCAAGCTCAAGCGGATACTATGAAAAAATTGTCAAATCAAAAGTTTCCTGCGGTTGAAGTGGGAAACACTGTTACGGTACCAATTCCTTCTGTTGATAGGGCTAAAGGTGATGCTCGAAATTTGCTTTGTGTTGTAACAGAGAAAACTGAGGACGGGTTCTATAAAGTAGGTACTAGACATGGAACGATTAATACGTTGTTTTCCAGAAATCAAATTCAAGAATGTAAGGAACGTTTGCTTAGTCTTCATGAAGTGCCTAATGTTAAATTATCTTTAAGAGAAATTAGTGGCAAAGATTCCAAATTTGGCGGTCAGGGTTTTCTTAAATGCGATTGCAGTAAACGATGCATTTCTAATTTGTGTAAATGTAAAAGGTCAAAAGTTTTATGCAATTCTAAGTGCCATAAATCTAATGATTGCCAAAACAAATAAATGTGTGCTCAGTTTACTTAGGTATAGGTAGGTACCTATATACCTGCTAATATTTTATTGCACTATTGTATCGTTGTTGAACTCAGCCAATTTTCTTTTTTTATGTTAATATTAAAAAAATACATTTTAGTTTATTAATGATTAAAAATAATATCCAACATTTTAAGATAGGTATTTCATTTCATTTTGAAATGTTTCGCTCAACAGAGTTTTTATTTTGTGTGCCTATATGAGAAGTATATTTTGTTAATAAATGTTTATTATTTAATTAACATTATTTAGTCCAAGTCCGATTTTCGCCACATCTAGGATCGCCTAGTCAGAGTCCGATGAGCGTTTCTTCGTTTCGGACTTTGACGAGGTGGGTCAGTCACTCCTAGGATTGACTAAAAGAGCCGCAGTTAATGTCCGGAACTCAAGAGTATTTCGGACTTTGACCGAATATTCTGGCCACTTCGCGAAATGACTAGTCATTCCTCGGATTGCCCGCGCTTCGGGCTTTGCCTGTAACATAATATATATATATATATATATATATATATATATATATATATGTTATATGCACTCACAACAATGGACTTACTATTCCATACAATGTTGCACCAGACGCTAGCTCAGCAACAGATAACGACTTCTCGCTAACTCGTTGTTTATGCTTTGTTTTCTAGAAGTGCTTTGTAAGCACACCAATAGTATAAATAGGCCTTGCACCCATTTCATGTTGTTCAATACCCGGCTAGGCACCGTAACAGTCACTTATGTAAACTTGTGTTGAATACCCGGTTAGACTCCGTCAAGTCAAGTAATTGTAAACGCTTGTAACGGACAGTAGCTACTGTCCTCAAATAAATTTTCTTAAAAAGTAAAGTTGAATTTAAATGATATAACATTTGGCGTCAGAAGTGGGATAGCTTCAACGCATTAGAACACGCGAACGCTCACTAGTGTGGTGGATGTCTATCCTTCGAGCTACAAAGGACCACGAGCCTACAAGTAACAAGAAATAAGAATCAAGAAAACGACGAAGAAGAAGAAGCAAAAGAAAAAAGAAGAGGGCACAGCGAGCAGCAGCCACCCAACTGTAGAGAGGCTACTTGGAAACATCGAAAGAGATCCGAGAGCCTCCTCTGGAGAACACGACTGCCTCCTGATGTACCACCGGTAACGTACAATTGAATCTACTATCGTTTGCAATTATCTCTGTATTTCTATATTTTTGCGTATTTATTGAGTGATTTTCATATTTTGCACAACATTTTCTATATTTTTCACATTTACTTACGACTTTTTACGTATTTTCTATAACTTTTACGTATTTTCTCATATTTATTCGTATATTTTGCGTACTACTGTCGAACTCCTGAAACATATTTCCAATCCCCATGTCAGTGCACGGATCAGATGATTACCAAGCACCTGAAGTTCTTGATAACGCTCATGCAAACATCGAGCCTTATAGACTGTCCGAAATACTCTTAATTGTCCCTGAATACGATGGCAACCCGTTATTGCTTTCGACTTTTATCAACGCGTGTAGAACAGCGCACCAAATGGCTGTCGAGGAACAGCGTCTCCTCGTCGTCCTGCATATAAAAAACAAACTGCGCGGACGAGCAGCAGAACTCGTCAATTCCCGTAACCCTTCGACATGGGAAACATCCTTGAAACACATTTCGGAGATCTTCGAGATCTCACATCCTTAATTGCTGATCTGCAGCATATGCGTCAACTACCAAATGAATCCCCACTAACCTTTGCATCAAGACTTCAAACTCACGCGGCGAAGATGCATTCAGCCGTCAATCGACAAAACATGAACCGAGAGCAGAAAGCTGCTCAAAGTTCATTGATAGAGACCATGACTCTAAACTGTCTCCTTATAGGACTAGATTCCAAAATTGGCCCGATTGTAAGATCAGGTCACCCAACAGATATCCTTACTGCAGTCGCTTTTATCAAGCGCAAACTACAACTGTCATATCTTGAGAGACAAAAATTTTCTAGAGCACCTAACTCTAATCAAAATTCTTCCATTAAGAAACCAGGTCCGAGAGTGTGCAATTTCTGCTACCGACCAGGTCATTTAGCAAATGAGTTCCAGCGAAGACAACAGCTCTCACATAATATTCCGAGACCAGTTTTCCAGCCCAAATCATTTTCGCCTCGAACTAACCCTAACCCTCCAACAGAAAACAATAGGCCCCCCAGTTCTAATCATTACCACCACAGACCCTCTCTTATTAGGCCAAATGTTCCTAATACGAATGTACTAAGACCTTCTGTTATACAACAGAATCAGGAGCTTCCAAAACCCTAACTTCCAAAAAAGCTTCCGACCAAGCAATTCCACAAATCAAATCAACTACGTAGCCCCAGATTGCTACAAATATTCCGAGTACCCTGAACCCGACCTTTACAATACAAATTATGCGAGCGAGTATGGTACAGAAACCCAATACCCTGCTTACACCCCCTCGCAGTATGACGAATTCCCTGACCCTAGTAACAATAACGATTTCTGTTACAAATACGATGATACCGCTGATTATAACATGCAGTGTCAGGATTTTCGCGAACGTTCTCCGAAAGAAGAAAGAAGAACCGCCTGTGAAGCCCAACGACGATTCCGATCATATGATTGCAAGTTTGCAAAAGCTCAATGTCAAAGACCCCCATACAACGTCAACTCCCGACCAAATGTTCGTTTAGATAAACATATTATAGTCCCGTCGACAATTCTCTCCGTCAGCCCAAACCACTTATACTACATCAACGACGCGACAGGAAAATTCAAAATCCTTATTGATAGTGGTGCCGGTTGTTCCATTTTCAAGCGAAAGACCTGCCAAAATTACACGAAACGTGTTGCCGAAAATATCTCCACCCGAGGTACTACGGACGAAAAAATTTTTATCACAGAAGTTTTAGTTCCCTTTGCTCCCAACGATTACCACAAAATTTATATTCACGATTTAGGGCCGGTTTTATAATCTCTAGTTGACCGGCGGTTGAATTTGAACCGGCGGTCAAACTGAAATTTCTGTATTATAAACCAGAACCGACGATTCAACCGCCGGTTCAACGCATCTGCGTTCAACCTTAGGTCGATCTACCGGTTGAAATGTCAACCGGACGTTAACAGCATATCATAACCTAAATTTATTGTTTACATTTGTCGTAACAGTGTACTTCGTCTGCTTATATATTACCAACTTGGATTATTATAAGCATTTTCAACTATCAATAAAACGACGATTTAAAATAAAATGTCGTCTTCTTCATCTTCGCCTGAAAATATACACGGCAGATTACTTTGGCAAACTAGTAGTGAGGATTCTTCAGATTCTGAAAATGAGAATCGAGTGAAAAGTCCAAGAGCCCCTCGAAATTTTAGAAGACGAGTAGATCACTTTACACGTTGGAATGACGAAGAATTTCGAGTAAGATTTCGCCTTAGTATTGCACAGTAACAATGCTAGAACAGAGATTACATAATGTTTTAACACCGACAACTGAAAGGTATATATATTTAATAAATCACATTATTTATACAAAAATGAAATTATAAATAAGAAAAATATCTCAATATAATGTTTATCCTAGGAACTATGCAGTAACAGCAATGCAGCAAATTCTGCTTGTGCTTCGCTTTTGTGCTACAGGATGTATGTTGCAAACTGTTGGAGATTTCACTGGAATCCATAAGACTACTGCATGTAGAATTGTAAAACGTGTTATTGGTATATTTGCATCTTTAGCAGCAGAATACATCCATATGCCAAACACACAAGAAGAAATTGATGAAGTAAAAAGGAAATTTTATACTATTGCAAAGTTTCCCATGTGAAAATAATTTCCCCAGGTACTTAATCTTTGACTTTGTTGTTAGTCATTTCCTTAATTTAGGCAAATTGGAAAGACTTAATATTAAAACATGTAATACTAACTTTTAGGTGGAGCTAATGCCGAGTATTTTAGAAATAGAAAAGGATATTTTTCTATAAATGTACAAGTAGTAGCTGATCCAAATTTATTGATAAGAAATATTGTTGCCCGATGGCCTGGTTCAACGCATGATCAAACAATACTGAACAATAGCTCAAGAAAGGCACAGTTTGAAAATAATAGATTTGGGAACTCTGTAATGCTGGGAGATTCAGGATATGCATTAAAAAAATACTTAATAACACCTATTGTTAATCCAACAACTGAAGTGGAACAAGTATTTAATGAATCCCAAATTAGGAGTCGAAATCCAGTTGAAAGATTATTTGGTGTTTTAAAAAGAAGATTTCCTGTTCTCTCCCTTGGTATAAGATTATCTCTGGAGACAGCACAGACTCTTATTGTAGCATGTGCAGTTCTTCATAATATAGGAGTTAATATGAACGAGCCAGAACCTCTCCAAGATGATGATCAGAATAGAGAATGGGAGGAAGAAGAAAATGTGAATGGAAATGATGTTCATAGGTTGGAACATAACTTTAGAGAAGAATTTCTTATATACTTTATGAATCTATTAGAAGAAAATCAATAAACTATTTTGTATGATAATTTATTGAAATATATTTATAAATGTATTTGCAACGGTCTAATGATTTCTTCAAAGTTCAGCTTTAGTAGGTACTTCTATCTTTTTCTAATGAAGTTTAGCAAATTCATACAATGAAATATGTCATGGGATTTATATTTTTCATTATAAATTTATTTTCTATCCTACACCAGAAAAACAACTTTCTAAGTTTTATTAATACTGTTGAGCTCCTTTCCGCCAGATCACGTAAAACAGCCACAACGTGGCAACGCCGACGAGGAGAAGAGGAAGGGGTGGCCGCCATATTGCAAGAAGACATGATCGAGCCGTCGACACACAGACACGACGCCGTACAAAACAATTATTGTTATTCAAATAATACCAGCTAGGATTGTAAAAGTAAAATAAAAGCCGAAAAAAAATACAGTCCACTTCTCTACCAACATAAATTGGTCCTTCGAGCCGGATCGCGGATCGGGAATCAATAAAATTGTGCCCGTGCAGAAGACACTCTGCAGGACCCGGTGCTACGCTGCTGCCGCTGTGGAGATACCCTGGTGGTTGCCGTCGCCGACGCTGATTCCATGCACCTGAAGGACATCGTGGGAGATACCCTGTGAGTCGTTCCTAGTTTATCCGCTTTCCTAACGTAATCCTTAGCGAGTTGTATTATTTGAATTTTGCATTTGCCTAAAATAAATAATTTGAAAATGGCCGACCAACATGATACTGTAGATGACGGTCAATTGCTTAAAATTTTAATCAAAAAAAGAGGATCAGTAAAATTTAGATTAACTCATCTAGTAAAACAGCTAGATGCAGTTGAAAAGGATATTTCAAGTATTGAAGAATTGCAATTTGTAGAATGGAAACAAAAGGCCGATCGTATGCCTCTTTTGTGGGACGAGTTCGCGGGGATACAATGTCAAATTGAATCGCTATCAGACGAACCTGATCAGTTTCAAGAAAGGGTTGATTTCGAAAACAAATACGATAGGTGTTTGGCCAGGTTGAAACAGTTGTTGAAAAAATCGTCAGAAGTAGAGAGCATAAAAAGCGTCAAATCTTGCGGTTCGAATCAAACCAGTGCCAGCGTTAAAGAAAGTATAAAGTCTGATGGCGGCTCAAATAAAAGCGAAGTAAGTGCCCGATCGCGAATTACACACCAAAATGTTAATGAAAATTTAAACGTACGTCGTCCCACTATCGACCTGCCAAAATTTTATGGGCGATCAGACAAATGGTTGGAGTTTAGAGATACTTTCGAATCTCTGATCCATCTCAATGATCACATCACTGATATACAAAAATTTCACTACCTGCGTGCATCCTTAGTCGGTGATGCCGCAAATATTTTAGTATCCTTAGAGTTTTCAAGTTATAATTATCAGAATGCGTATAAGGCTCTCAAGGAGAGGTATAACAATGAAAAGGTGCTGGTGCAGCAGCACATACAAGGCGTTTTCAATATAGAAAAAATCATGAGGGAATCGGCATCTGAGCTGAGGAAAATAATAGATACATTGTCTAAACACCTCAGATCCATTGTACAGTTAGGCCAACCAATTGATAATCGGGATGCGTTAATTATTTTCATTGTAACTTCAAAACTGCCAAAAGTAACTAATCAGGATTGGGAAAAACAAAACAAAAAATTCAGGGGACCTACTATTGAAAAGTTTAGAGAATTTTTAATTGATCGTGCTGACTTTCTTCAAACGATTGAATCGAAGAATCAAGAAAAAGCAGCTGAGAAATTTGAGAGTAAACATAACAGAATAGGACAAACAAGAGGTTTGTTATCTGCAAATGCATCCTGTGTTGTGTGCAAAAAAAATCATTGGATTTCAGGTTGCGGCATTTTTAATAAATTAAGTGTCAACGAAAGAATTGACAAGGCAAAACAACTACGTTTGTGTTTGAATTGTTTGAAACCCGGACATTTTAGTACCGTCTGCAGAGCAAACACTTGTAAAAGATGCAATTATAAACATCATGTGCTATTGCACAAAGAAACGTCGAGAAGCAATTTGGCAACAGAGCTAGAATCTGCTCATTCCGCAAACGACGCTGGGGAAGCGCCGCGAAATTCAAACGATACGTTCGAACAGCCGTCAAATTCAAACGGTGGGGGGCGCGCGGAAACGGCATCAGTCGCGATATCAGTGTTCAGTTCCAATAACTTCGTGTTGTTGTCCACCGCATCTGTTATAGTCCGGGGAAAACATGGAAAAAGCGCAATTGTCAGAGCGGTTCTTGATTCGGGCAGTCAGTCAAGCTATTTAACCTCAGATGTATGTGATCAGTTGGGAATTAAAAAGGAAACAATAGATTTGACTGTTGAGGGAATAAACAACACGGCTTCTCGAATAAAACATAGATGTTCAGTGGAAATAGAGTCTATACGGAATGATTATAAAAAAATTGTGAGTTGTTTTGTGATTCCTGAGATTACCGGGCTCATACCAAATGTTCCTATTGATGTTGGCAAATTGAATATTCCAAAACATATCGGGTTAGCGGATACAAATTTCAATATTCCAGCCAAGGTTTCAATGTTGATAGGTGCTGACTTATTTTACGATTTACTATGCATTGGTCAGACGAAGCTAGGGCCGGGCTTGCCCATATTACAGCGAACACGTTTAGGTTGGATAGTCTCAGGCAATGTACCAAATAACGCTGTTGCCTGTTACAACAGTACTTATTGTAATTTTTCGGTAAATCAAGATCTCCAAAACCAATTAACGCGATTTTGGGAAATTGAGGAAGTCAATTGCGCGAATCCGCTATCATATGAAGAAACAATGCGTGAAGAACACTTTAGCAAAACCACGAGGCGAAGTAATGACGGTCGTTTTATTGTGTCTATTCCTTTCAAGGATGATATAAGCAAACTCGGCGACTCCCGAGAACATGCTGAAAAAAGATTTTTGAGTTTAGAAAGGAAACTTGAGGCAAATCCTCAGTTTAAAGAAATGTATAAGGCATTCATATTAGAATACCAATCTTTAGGTCACATGACAAAGTTGGATGGAGTAAGTTACAGCGCCTCATCATGGCGTTTTACGCGAAAACAGCTTGACAACTAAATTGCGAGTAGTTTTTGATGCTTCTGCGCCATCAACTACGGGTTACTAACTAAATAACTTACAAATGTTAGGGCCAGTCGTGCAAAATGATTTGATGTCAATCATTTTAAGATTTAGAACTTACCGTTTTGTTCTATGCGGAGATGTCGAAAAAATGTATCGACAAGTTTTAGTCGAAAAAGAGCAGCAATGTTTGCAGCGCATTTTATGGAGAGATGACCCTTCTCTGCCATTAGCCACTTACGAACTCAAAACAGTAACGTACGGGACAAAATCCGCGCCATATCTAGCAACGAGGTGCATCAAAGAATTGTCTATACAACATCAAGTTTCAGATCCCGACGCTTCGGAAATAATCTTGAACTGTTTCTATGTCGATGACATGTTAATGGGTGCCAACAGTATTGATAGTGTGGTAAAGTTAGGCAATGATGTTTTCAAAATTTTGAAGAGCGGAGGATTTGAATTACGAAAGTGGAGTTCTAACAGTGATGAAATTTTGCGAAAAATGAATGTCTCAACGTCGGAAACTGACTCGTTGGTGATAAATAGAACAGAATGTTTTAAAGCACTTGGTCTATCCTGGAATAAAAAATCTGATACGTTCAATTTTGAAGTGTCACCGAGTGAGGATCATGATAAGGTCTCAAAACGGTCAATTTTGTCAGACATAAGTCAATTGTTTGATCCCATGGGATTAGTCAGTCCGTGTGTTATTATAGCTAAAGTATTGCTTCAGAAATTATGGCTAGAAAAAATAGACTGGGACTCAGCACTATCGCCAGAATTAGGAAAACAATGGCTCAAACTAAAAAATAGTTTAATGGAATTGAATAAGATACAAATTAATCGCAAGGTTATTTGTGATGATGCTATGAAAGTTGAATTACACGGATTTTCTGACGCGAGTGCAGAAGCATACGGAGCAGCAATATATGTGAGATCTATAGACACGAATGGAAAAATTCACGTTTCCTTATTATAAGCAAAGTCAAGGGTGGCTCCGCTAAAAACAATTAGTATTCCAAGGTTGGAATTATGCGGTGCATTGATTTTAATTTACAAGGTTGTGAATTCGGTTAAAATAGTCTTTGATACCATTTACTGCTGGACCGATTCCACAGTAGTTCTTGGATGGCACAAAACCATACCAAATTTATTGAAGACTTTTGTGGCAAATAGAGTGTCTGAAATACAAAATTTAGAAACTCAAAACCTATGTCAGTGGCGACACGTGCCAACTAAAGTGAACCCTGAGGATATTTTATCTCGAGGAATGTACCCTAAGGACTTAACGGTAAATAGTTTGTGGTGGGCAGGGCCTCCTTTCCTATTGAATGATGAATCAGAATGGCCTCGCCCAGGGCAAGACGAGAACAAGCTACCTGAATTCAAAGAAAAGAGTACCAATCTTTTATCATTCCACGCAAATTCTTTTCCTTTTGATAAATTTTCAACTTTAACAAAACTCAAACGTGTCGTTGCGTATTTATTTCGCTTCATAAAAAATTCATCCACGAGTACTGAAAAAAGGATAATGGGCATCCTTACAATGGAGGAGATCGATCATGCTTTCATGTGTCTAATTAAAGCTGCACAAAGGGAGTGTTTTGGTCAGGAAATTTCTGATTTAAAATCAGACAAAAAAATTAGTAAAAAAAGCAAACTTTTGACCCTCAGCCCATATTTAGACGAAAATCACATAATGCGTGTTGGAGGCCGACTAACAAATAGTGCGTATAATTATGACAAGAGACATCCCATTATCTTGTCTCCTAATTATAACCTCACAAAACTGATTTGTGAAAGAGAACACCTACGATTATATCACGTAGGGCCCCAAGCGTTGCTGGCGTCTCTCCGTGAAAAATTCTGGATACCTTCCGGAAATAGTCTTGTAAAATTTGTGATAAAAAAATGTGTTATGTGTTTTAGACATAACTCTAGAATTTTGAATCCCATTATGGGAAATTTACCAAAATCTAGATTTGAAGGTCAATATCCATTTGAAATAACTGGAGTAGATTTTGCAGGCCCATTGCTTATGAAAGATAAAAAAGGACGCGGTGCAAAATTAGTAAAATGCTACGTTTGCTTATTCATTTGTTTTTGTACAAAAGCCGTGCACACTGAGTTGGTCACAGATTTGTCTACGGAATCATTCATATTGTCCTTAAGACGATTCGTATCTCGAAGAGGAAAACCCCGTCAAATTTGGTCCGATAATGGGAGGAATTTCGTAGGCGCAAATTCGGAATTAAGGGCACTAGGTACCTTTTTAGACAAAAATAAAGATTTACTTTGTGAGGCATTTACTAAAGACGAAATCCATTGGCAGTTTATTCCCGCGCATTCGCCTCACTTTGGAGGCCTGAGGGAGGCAGGAATAAAATCAGTTAAGTATCATTTAAAACGTGTAGTTGGTGAACAACATTTTACGTTTGAGGAGTTATACACCATACTTGTTCAGATAGAAGCTATTTTGAACTCGCGACCTATATCTCCCTTATCCACCAACCCCGATGACCTGTTTCCTTTAACCCCGGCTCACTTCATCCTGGGAAGGACTACAGGCGAGGTGCCAGATCCTGATGTTACGCATATACAGCAACACAAACTGTCTCAATTTCAAAAAATTCAAAACGTCAAGCAGCATTTTTGGAAACGATGGAACGTGGAATATGTGGTAGAGTTGCAGCGCAGAAAGAAATGGACTACAGATGATCAACGGGTGCTGGAACCAGGAATGTTGGTTCTGATTAAAGAAGATAACATCCCACCAATGAAGTGGATGCTTGGTCGAGTGCTATCTGTGTCCAGAGACGTTCATAGTGTTTCTAGAGTGGCTACGTTGAAGACACAGCGTGGTGAAGTCAAAAGGGCATTCTCCAAACTATGTCCTTTACCCATCCACGACTAAGATGTTGAAGGCCTGGCCCTTCAAGGTGGGGAGTTATGTTGAGCTCCTTTCCGCCAGATCACGTAAAACAGCCACAACGTGGCAACGCCGACGAGGAGAAGAGGAAGGGGTGGCCGCCATATTGCAAGAAGACATGATCGAGCCGTCGACACACAGACACGACGCCGTACAAAACAATTATTGTTATTCAAATAATACCAGCTAGGATTGTAAAAGTAAAAGAAAAGCCGAAAAAAATACAGTCCACTTCTCTACCAACAAATACTTTATTGATTATGCATCAATTTGTTTCTGCAAGAGTAAAATTTCATATTCTAATTTTTTATTTTGGAGCTGAAAGTTTTTAGCTTTCAACTCGTGTAGTTCCTGCTCATTTTTCATTTTTTGTTCATGGTGTTCTTTGTTTCTTGCAGCTTCTTCGTCTAACAACTTCCTTTTTAGAGATGTTAGGCCCTCTTTCGATGACTGTTCTTCAATCCTTTTTCTTTTTCCTTGAAGGACTCTGTGTTTCCTTGATTGTAAGTGTTTTGGTGTGTAATCAGACCAATCTAAAATAAATACATATATACCCTACATTGCACTGAGTATATATTAAGCACCTACCATGTATCACTTTAACTGCCAGAGGGGATTGCTGTGGTACTGGTACAGACGGTATTTGTAACTCACATGTCTGTTCTAAAGCTTCTGTGTTGCTTTCAGAATCTGAAATTGTGAAAATTGTACAAATGCATTTGTTTTAAATTTTGTCAAAACTATCACCTTCATTTAACACTATAGACATTGATGCAAGATCAACATCCTCTTCATGTAGATTTTCTGTATTTTTATTTGTCTCCTCCATACAAACAGATGCCGCTTCTGAAAAAAAATATATAATTAAAGTATTTTTAAGTTTACATACATAACTGTGGGTGTTCACTGTAATATTACACAATGTCCATAGTACCTTCTTTACTTTCAAATGAAGCATCATCGCTGTCACCCACAGATGGCTGCAATCCATGCACTGATAAGCCAATAATACTTTTAATTTTCTCGTAAAGCATAATCACAGCTTTCTTCAGATTTCTTTCATCAGCACCACCACCACCAGTCCTCAACAAATTTTGCCTCCTGTGAGCTTCATACTTGCGTACTTCTTTTTTCAAATTATCAAATTTACACCTGAGTTGATCAGCTGTTCGTGATTCGGTTGTGGCAGAGTTGTATAGCTCTGCAATTTTCTCCCAAGCTGCTGCCTGAGAAATGATACTAACATTGAACTTTTTGTATTCAATAAAAATTAAAAACTTCACCTTTTGTTTCTACGATACGGCGTCTGTCCTCTTGCACTCAACAATATTTTTGTATCTCAGAACGATATCTACCAAACTGTGGCAATGTGCCTCGGAAAACATCACTCTTTTGGTTGGGTTAGCAGTCATCTTTAGGCAGAGATAAACCCTTCTATTTTTAGGTAGTGGTAAATATCACGTAATTATGAGAAAACATGGATTTAAACAAAAGCATAGACGACACAGAGAACTGTCAACACTGACAGTGCTGACAGCTCTTTTGCCGTTCTATGTTTTGTACGCCGTACAACATTTGTCTAGATGTCATTGTCATGTCATCAAATTAAGGTGACTGCCAACTGAAAAAATTAAAACTGAACCGTCGGTTGACAAACCGCTACCTGAAAGTAGGATCGTAAACACAATTGTCTTCAACCGACAGTTGAATTTCAACTTTCGGTTGGAAAACCGGCGGTTCAGTTTTACTTTTATGCAACCGGCCCTTAGACATTGCTTTCGATGGTCATCTTGGTTCAGATTTTCTCGAGCACTACGATTGCATTATCGATTTGAAAAATCGTCAATTAATCACAAAATTCAAAATCATCCCTCTTTTCAAAGTAGGTGATGAAGAAAATACCCAAACTACTGATTTCAAAGGAAATCTCCAAACTTCTAATTTAAAAGAGAATTCCCAAGTTCAAAATGTCATCTCAGTCCCTCCTAGAGTTGAACAGGTTGTCAAGCTTAAGTCAGAGCTTAAAAATACCGAAGCCATTCTTCTGGCATGCGAGGTAGAAAAAGTCCGTCTACCCAGCTCCATCGTCAAAATCAATTCTAACGGCGAATTTCTCACTACAGTCTTGAACTGTAATGCCATTCCTAAAAATGTTATTCTGCCCAAATTAGAATTTCAACACTTTAATGAAACGTCCGTCAACAATTTTAACATATCCCTGAAGAACAAGAGTCAGTATAACCGTAGAGATGCTATTCGAGATCAATTACTTCTTGAACATCTTAACGATGAAGAAACAGAACTTATTACCAACCATTTTCTAGAATTTTCTATTTAGATGGTGACAGTTTGACATTCACCAACGAAATTAAACATTCCATTGACACTACAACCAACAAACCAATTTTTACTAATTCTTATCGCTACCCTCATGTCCACAAACAAGAAGTGAAAGGCCAAATTTCCAAACTGTTAAAACAAGGGATTATTGAACCCTCTAGTTCACCTTGGAATGCCCCTGTCTGGGTAGTCCCAAAGAAAATGGACGCTTCGGGCAAACAAAAATGGCGTATGGTGATCGATTACCGTAAACTTAACGAAATCACCATTGACGATAAATACCCGTTGCCAAACATTTCCGATCTGCTAGATCAATTAGGGACATGCCAGTACTTCAGTACACTGGATTTGGCATCTGGATTTCACCGAATTGAAATTAATCCAGCCGATGTTGCCAAAACCGCATTTTCGATGGAGAACGGACACTACCAATTCTTGAGAATGCCTTTTGGTGTCAAGAAACGGTCCTGCAACATTCCAACGTGTTATGGACAACATCTTGATGGGTATACAAAACGAAAGACGTCTTGTATACATGGACGATATCATTGTCTATTCCCCTTCCATCACCAGACTTTCCGAAATTTTTAAACGTCTCCGAAACTCGAATTTTAAGATTCAGCCAGATAAGTGTGAATTTCTCAGAAAGGAAGTAGCCTATCTTGGTCACGTAATAACCCCTGATGGCGTTAAGCCCAATCCAGATAAAG